GATCCTGAAGATGAAGCTCAAATGCTTTGGCCACCTAATGAGAAGGAAGGACTCACTGGAGAAGAGCCTAATGCTGGGAAATATTGAGAGCAAAAGAAGGAGGGGACGACAGAGAATGAGGTGGCTGGATGGAGTCATCAAAGCAGTCGGCATAAATGGACTTTGGGGGTTGGTAGAGGACAGGAAGGCCTGGAGAAACTTTGTCCATGGGGTCGCAATGGGTCGGACACAACTTTGCAACTAACAACAAAGTTTTTACCTGTTTCTTTTTCTTTCTACTTTCCTTCTTCCATTGCATCCATTAAATAACTCTTTGCTAAGGGAGCTGACCTTACAAAGAACAGTTAAATTTAGTAAAAACCTTAAATCTCTGATTCAATCTCAACTCTTATTAATTCAATGGATGCATTTAATTCCTTTCCCAGCAATGTTGTAATATGGGAGTAATTTGCCTTTCTTTTTCCAAGTTTTTTTTTGTTCCTTATTTCCTATTCTAGGTTTCAATTTTGTTCTTTCTGATCTTTGACCCAAATAAAATAAGTTGAAGGCTGCAGGTTTCATCTGCCTTATCAGTATTGAGTTTTCACACTAATTTCTAATTTGAATTTTGTATAGGAATGCCACTTGAATTTACATGCAAGTTAAATAGGGAAAAAAAAGATGTAAAATCTGTAGCCCTTCAAGTATTACTTGGACACTCTTCGGCCAACATGGCTAATTGTGAGGTGATTTTAACCTAATCCTGGTTGATTTTTAAAAGGTCTGCAACTTAACCAGACATCTGGTTAATATTTGGGGAGGAAACTCTTGGAAAATTCTGGGATGTTGAAAAACCATCTCAAAAGAAGGCAATAGAAATTATTCCATGCTGTTGCCAAGAAAACGTCATGTCCATAAAGTTACCAGGAATTGAGCTTGACCAGGAATCAGATGGCAATTATGGGAAAACCAATTGTCCCCCATTCACCCCTCCATAATGAGGAATAAAGGAAAAAGGCCCTCCTGAGTTCAAATCTGAAACTTTTAAGGTGCCAATAAAGAGTTGAAAATTTCCTCACCTGCAGCAGCTGCCTCTCTCTTTCCTTGCTTGATGCCTTGCTAGAAAAGTTTCGGCTACAGTCATGCTTGGCTGCAGGTTTCAGGGACACGTTCCTATACTTGGCTCTGGATCTTTTGAGACAAGGTGGTCAGGAGCTGCTGCAAGATCAACAACTCCCAAAATCTGATCCTTGGTGTGGCTCTCCAGCCTTAGTCACTGACAACAAAACTCCCGAAGCTCCTTCCAAGCAGCAGGTGGCCTCCTGATATTGGAAGTGTCAGAAGTGTCATCTTTGCTTCTCAGTAGCCACAGGTTCCTTCTTCAAGATGGTGGCCTTTCCATAATCCTAATATCCGAACTCAGTTAGGCCTTCAGGGCATCCCCACTCAAAGTTGGCAAAAGCCAGCCTACTAGTTCTTCCTTAGACCATAGGCTACATCTGTGATAGCTAACCTATGGCATGCATGCCACAGATGGCACACAGGGCCCTCTCTGCAGGCATGCAAGTCGTCGCCCTAGCTCAGCTCCACCGCACATGTGTGCGGCCTCTTTCTGGCCAGCTGGTTTTTGGGTCTCTGTCATGTATCATCAGGGGACCTGCATGTGGCAGATATGCACGCATGCACGGGAGGTGAATGGGGGTTGTATGTGCATGCGCAGGGGATGGGGTGCATGCATGCATGGGGGTGGGGTGCATGTGGGGGTTGTACGCACATGCGGGGAGGGCACAGGGGTTGCGCACACATTGCATAATGGGTATGTGCGCATGTGCACTTGCGCTCTTTCGGCATTCGGTGCAGAAAAGTTTAGCCATCCCTGGGCTATATGTTCAAAAGAACATATACAGCTAGAAGCGCTCATGTGTCTTCTCATGACTCAAATGCGACTGGCCACCTTCCCTGCAGTTCTGGGTCTTGGCCTTGAATTTCCCAATGCTGGATCATCCCTACATTGGGCTTTTCTTTTAGCAGTGGAGATGACTTCCAACTCAAGATTTTTCCCACATGAAGGACACAAGGAATTTGTCCTGCTTTCTCTGGAGTTTCTCCTATGCTGAAGTTTGTTGCTCCTTGTTCTTCTCTGTTGATTCCATGTGCAGAGCCACTTTTAAGGGTCCCAAGCTCCACCACCATTTTTCACTCTCATGGCACCACCTTCAAGTCTCTATTCCAAAGACTCCCTTTCTCTAGCAAATACAGAAGAAAATTAACCTGCATTACCTCTTTCTGTCTCACATATTATGGAAAGCCTTCTCTAAGATCTACCTATCTAATAACTAATTAAATCTAATTCTTCTGCATCAAACAAAAATGAAGAATACTTTTCATCTTGCATTATTAGTATAAAAATGTACCAGAAGTGAATGAGTTAAAATACTTATAATTAATCCACTAACAAATTTTGTTTTTCATCCAGAGGTTATAAGGCAATAAGATAAGATGTTCTCCAAAAAGGAAGTCTGACAAAAGCCAATTATGACATGCAGACAATTTTATTGTATAGCTCAAGGACTCAACCAAATCTATTCCAGCTGTCACAAATACCAAGTGTTACAAACAAAGCAGTTAAACGAAGTTCAAATTCGTTCTCATTTAGGTTTCCGTATGCCAATATCAGAATTTGAAGTATTGTGGTATTTGAAGGAATTTGATTAAAATGCTTTCAACACTCTTTAACAAAATCCAAACTATTTCTCATAATAGCTCTCGAATCCACTCAAGCTTGCTTGAAAACTGAAGTAATGAGATTCATTTTGGTTTCATTCAGACCTGCATTAGTTATAAATCCAGGACTCATTTTGGATAAAATTAGAGATCACATACTTCTTTTTGTCCCTGTTCTTGTTTTAGCCCTTGTTTTACACCATTTTTCAATGGGTAGCTTTGGGGGACACTTAAGAGATTGGGAAGTAGTAATTTTTTAAAAGTAGGTATGCTTTACAATAAGCCACATGGAATCAGCATCACCTGATCTCAATAGATTTAGGCATGTCTCTCAACTATTCAGCTGAATACGTTCTCCTCTGATGCTACGTCCTTCTGTCGTCTTCCAGATCCCTTTAAACTCACCCTCAAATTTGCCCACACGTAACGGTCCCACTTCCCTGTTGGTTGGAACACCTGATTCCCATTACCACAGAAGGCGGAGCAGGAAGGAATTTAGCTCTCCTCCCAGCCCATTGGCTCCCTCTTGCCCTCTATCATATTAACCCCTGGAAAACTTAAGTCGTACAAATCGCGTCTGAAGAAAGAAGAAACCACATCTGGATTGCCGGTGCTTCCTGGTTCAAACTCTGAGAACGCCGGTAATTTGAAAAGTAGTTTTTCCGCCTAATGAATTATTTGAAATAATAAAAAAATAGCAAGAGAGATAAACATGCAAATTGCAATTGGGTCCCCAAATTCAGCCTGGAAGTAATGTTGCTTGAGGAGGTGGGGAAGAGAAAGAGCCCTGAGGTCTAGATGTACAAGCTAAGTTATGATTGCACATCATTGGTTGTTCAAAAATGTTGTACCTTATGACCACAATTGGGACCAGAATGTCCATTGTTAAGCAAGGCAGTTGTTAAGTAAATCGTGCCAGATTTTATGACCTTGTTGCTGCAATTGTTAAGCGAATCTAGCTTCTCCCACTCATTTTGATTGTCAGAAGTTTTTGGGAAGTTTGCAAATGGAAATCCTATCACTCGAGGATGCTGCAACCATCATAAATACGTTCTGTTTGCCAAGCACCCACATTTTAATTACATGACTGGGGATGCTGTGATGGTTGTTAAGTGTGAGGACCAGTCATAAGACCAATTATTTTCTCACTGTAATTTTGCCACTGTAATTTTGGGTGATCACCAAATGAATAGTTGCTTGCAATCTGTATGTTTTATCCATCTGTTTCTATTTAGCAAGGACAGTTCTTTTTTAATTGTCCTTCCTTTGCTTTTTCTCCAATGTATACAGATGAGAGGGAGGCACATTTGTTATGTCTGCAAACTTGCATATGGCAACTTTTTTTCTGTTCCAGTTGCCACCAGAAAAAAACAGGACCACCAGAACAATAAAAACAACCTCACCAAAATGTGAATAATATAATACAACCTCAGGACCCCGCAATTTGGGGGTGGAGGGATTTGTTTTGTTTTACTCTTCGAGACATTATTTCTGTCTGGGTTGACATTGCTTGCTTTCTAAGGCTAACAACACTGGCAACACTAGGGGAATGTGAACTAGTGAGATGGCTCCCTTGTTAATATCCTTTCCTCCATTAGAAGGATAGAAAAATGGATGGGTGGATGATAGAAGATGTGATAGAAGTGTGTGTGTGTGAGAGAGAGGGAGGGACTAAAAGGTACAGGACAGTAATTTCTGTTAAACCTGGGAACGCGATATTAGTTGTGTGTATTATAGTTGCTATTGTCCAAAGTCACATTCCTGCTGGAGAACAAGAACATGATGGAGATGCACACAAACATTGTTCAGCTTCAGCAATTGGGACACCTCTGAATACAATAGGTTGTTTATGGGAAAACTGCTTTCAACATCTTGTTGCGTCTGCCCATCCCTGTAGCAACAGTGTCCTAATGTGGCAGTCTTGTTCTATTACATGGAAAGCCTTACTCGGAGATATGCTAGCATTGACACTAGCTCTAAAGTGCAGCAGCCACTCAATCCAGGGGTGTCCTCCATCAATGTTTGTTCTCTTCATATCACAGTAGGAACCTCAAGAGAGATCATCAAGCCTGGCTCTCCATTGAAACACTGGGCATAGGTGAGACATCATGTCCTTATTCTCCTGTCCATCACTGGGTCACAGGCTGCCATTTTCTGAATAGCAGTGGCCCTTTATTTGAAATCCCAGTGTTTTCCATTCCTGCTGTAACAGACCACGCAAAACCTCTAGAAAGAAATTTAATCCTGGTTCAGAATATTGGCAAAAAGGAACTCTATTGAGGATTCCCAGCATATTTTCCAGAATTTTATTTGGGATCTAGACTTTGTGATCTTTCATTTGTACTCTCCGTAGCTTTCCTACCTGGAACTTCAGTTTGTTTCCCCAGCCCCCCCCAAAAAAAAAAGAATTAAGGAAGAAAAAGCTATTGGTAGATTATAAACATCATATGTCTGGAGTTCTCCGGGGAAAGGATAATAAACGGTTTAGCTCTCAACATACCAGAAGAATGCTTGTTTGCTTTTTGGTGTTATTTTTTTTTTAGGAACAGCAATTCAATAAGGTCAGTTCTGGTTTAGTGGATGAAAATGAAAAAGCATGGTTTGAATGTAATCTCAAAAGAAAAGAAAATATGAGGCAGAACATTGGGAATAGTGTATATCCCATGGTAGTATATATCCCATGATCAAACTATCATGATCATGATATTGTTGTTGTTAGTTGGAAAGTTGTGTCCGACTCTCCAGTGAGTCCTTCTCATTAGATGGCCAAAGTATTTGAGTTTCATCTTCAGGGTCTGGCCTTCTAAAGGTTGATCTCCTCTAGGGCTGACAGGGTTTGATTGCTGAGCTTGTTGATCAGAAAGGTTGGCAGTTCGAATCCCCAGTGCCTCGAAATGGAGTGAGTTCCCATTACTTGTCCCAGCTTCTGCCAACCTAACAGTTCGGAAGCACATAAAAATGCAAATAGAAAAATAGGGATCACCTTTGATGAGAAGGTAACAGCATTCCATGCCTTTTGGCATTTAATCATGCCGGCCACAACGAAGATGAGCACCGCCCCCTAGAGTTGGGAATAACTAGCACATATGTGCGAGGGGCACCTTTACCTTTACTATTTCTACTACTATTATGGTTATCCCGTTGTCAAGGCAGGTGTCTGGAGACAATCATTTACCCAAAACTCTCCCGCTTCAAACGTTAACCTAGGGCTCGGATTTGAAAGCCACAATGTTTTTTTAAACAAAATCCGATCCTAATGGGGAGGTGGGTGGGGGGGAGACGGAAGAGAGGGTCGCGCTAAATATCTGGACGGAGAAAGGGTTAATAGACTGGCGCCCACGTGGGATAAAAGGAAGAGGAGGCGGCGCCTTCCTGCTCCGCCTTTGGGTTGGTAAAAAAAAGGTTTGGGGTTGAAAACCCCTCCCCGCCCCCTCTCCAGCTTCAGCAGTCGCATCTGGTGCAAGGGGATGGGAGGAAGACCAGCTCTCCCAAGGGTGAGTTGCAGGACAGAGGCGGGCCTTCCCTTCTTGTAAAGACACGTGCGAGAAGAGGCGGCGGCGGCGGCGGCGGCAAGGTACAGGGTTTAGGTGGGGTTTTATCATTATCCAAGGTGGGTATAATATCAAAAGGTCGGAAAGGGGTGGCTGGGTGGGAGAAAGCTTGGCCATCTCTTTGCCCCTCCCACCCCCAACCACATCAAAGAGGCAAAATGGCTGCATTCCCCTTGTCTTGGTGTCATAAGGGGGGGAACGGATGGGCTGGAAGCGCCCCGAGAGACTTTCCACTGTGGGGTGCAGGGCAGTCGAAAGACCCGCTTTGCAGGAGAGGAGTGGGCGTAGCAGGGGGGAAAGTCAGGGCGCGCGCGAGGTTGGGGAATGAATGGCTCAAGGTCCTTTCCGTGGGGGGGGCGCGTTTTTCTTGCAAAGGGGGTGGGAGCCCCCAACGGGGTTTGCAATGGGAGAAACCCTTTGCGGGTGGTAGTGGTGGTAGTGGGGAGGCAGATACTTAGGAAGGAGGGCTGGGTAGAACATGTTTTGGAAAGCGGGTGACAGGAAGTGGAGGTGCCATAAGTTGGAAGGGGAAAGTTAGGGGGCAGCTGTGCTTGGGGGAGAACAGGAAGAGGAGTTTGCAAACCCTAAAATGGAGGAAGGGTATCTATCTCAGCGTCTGAAGTGTGGAAGAGAGGGGAGGAATCGTTTTATGAATGTTCTCCTTTCCAACAATGAGGTGATGTTATAAGCCCAAGCCCTGTTTGGGAAAAAGTGACATGGTTTGCTCATTTAGGAATAACTGTAAACGTCTTCAGCCCTGTGACACCCAATGAATTTGCTAATGAACCAGTTAGAGCCTTCATTCCAATTATTAAAAAGATGGTGTGGCTATTAATTCCTTATGAGTTGCTATAATAGCAGGTGCATTAAACAAAATCCAGGATTGATGAGGTTGGTAATTGGTGAGCAGTCCTTATCCTCTGCTACCCTATCTTCTCTGTAGGGGGTTTTAGAAAGGGATATATTTGTGAGCCAGATATTTCTCTGGGTGTTGTTTGGAAAATGAGGGATAGAATTTTGAATTTTTCAGATATATATCTTGTGAAAAATTCCTTTGCCTCAGAAGTCTATGATTGAGTTGGTAAAATAAATCAATGAAAATAATCTGTTTGATATTTTTGCTTGTTTGTCAAAATCCCAAACAGAGATTGCATCCAGTAAATTAGAATCAGTAAACCAATTCTGACAATTGTTGATTCTGAAAAAAAATACCCTTTCCATATACAATACATCTAAATGCGTAAATCTAAATATGAATAGGCAAAAGTGACCCTGCTATTACTGTTGCTTGTTTTCTTAATAGGTTTTGTTATGAATAGTAGCTTTATATTGTTTGATTATTTACATTTTTAAAGGTTTTTTTCCTTTTAGAAAGATGAAATGTCTCAATGATTATTTTGAGCGCTGTAGAAATTACTTGGATATGAAGGGAACATGTAAAGCCCTGGTCCAGATTTTCTTTTCAAATTCTTATTCATTAATATTGACTGAGTAACTTTAATGGAAGTTTTAATATAAATCATACTTACAATGTGACAAGGAGCAATTGGGAAGAAGAATATGCAATTTTTGAAATAAAAAATTAGGGAAATTTTTCAGATTTTACTCATTACTACTGTAGTTGAAAATGAAGATACCTTCAAATTTGTTGTTTTGGAAGGGAATCCTTTAGAATATTATACATTTGCCCCAAAGCATCATAATTTTCTATAGTCTTGATCCTGAAGTAGCATCATGTGCCACTGCAACATCTTCATGAGTGGGGAGAAATTAGAAAACTTGAAAGAAAATTCCTGACTTTTTTGTTGGTTAACAATGAATAGTTTACAATTATCCTGGCTGCTGTGCTGTTTTGTTTTACTGTATAGATTTGGTAAATGGTTCGTTTTATCACCACCTGTGCGTGGTGGTGTGCAAAAACACTTGAACTGCAATAAAAGAAGATAAGTATTGTGGAACTGGTTTGTTATTTTCTGGGGAGATGGAACAATGTTGTATAAGCTCTAGGATTTCAAAATAATAGGTGGGTATAATATATTAGGTGATTTCTGCATCCAGAACATTTAATCAAGAAACACTGTCATATTAAAGATTACTTCTAAGCTGTGGCTTCCAGCATGGTGAAAGATGAGTGAAGAGACAACCTTACTGTAATGTGATCTATTTATTAGATTTTTATCTAAGCTTTTATTACTTTATAAGTAACTCAAGGTGGCAAACATACCTAATACTCTTTCCTCCTCCTATTTTTCCCAGAACAAACAATCCTATGAGGTGAGTTGGACTGAAGGTATCTTGCCCAAAGATACCGAGTTGACTTTCAAACTTAAGATGGGACTAGAACTCACCATCTCCTGGTTCCTAGATCAGCACCTTAATCATACCTCCAGATTCTGAAGTGGTAGAATCCACAAAGCGTTATTATTCTGAATGTGTAGATTCAGGGAGAGAGCTATATGGATGAAACCATCATCCTCTGCTCTTTCTTCCCCTTCCCTTTCTGAAAATAGATAGGACACAGAATAATCATTGTAGTATTACTCCTTTCCCCATTGCCTTTGTGATGGCAATAGAAGGTTTTTGACTGATGACAACTGCCCCTGTGAATGAAAACAGGTTTAAATGGTTGAAGCATAGTTGAATTATAATTGCAATATGTGAAATCTAGGGGTAACTGTCCTACTCTTGAAAATGATGTCTTTTTTTGTAATTTTTTTACACTTCAGGATAATTTTTTCTTAAAATGGTTTCTACCATAGGAAATATATCCATCATCCTAAACTAAACCAAAACAAGCCATACAAAAAAACCCTTTCCTCAGAAATACCTTCCTTCTTAATATGGAAATGAATTATGTAAACATGAATTTGATTAATCTCATGTTGTTGACTGCATAGGTGATTGCTTACTTTTTTGTCTTTTTAGGGAGAAAGTACTCATGTAAACACATTTGGAAAAACCAAATCCTCTTGATGTATGGCGGAATCCTGTGACAGAGCAGTTTCCTTGACAACAGTCTCTGCCTCCTGGAAATTGTTGGTAAACTTTGGCCTAAGCTTGTGGTCAAAATTTGAGGAGGAGGAAGACTCTTCCCATCATGTTTGCCTGTGAGACTTTGGGTATGACTGGTCAGACCCCGGTCTACAATTGGGACAAGTCTGTCTACCTCTTAGAAGACAAAATGGAGTCCTTACAGGGTTCAGGAGAGCTGGATCTCCATTTTAAGGTGCTGCTTGGGCAGGAGATGTATCCAGAGATCACAATTGAGGAGGAAGAGCCTGATGAAGTAGAAGTAGATGCTGAAGGGGAGGCAGATGAAGAGGAAGAAGAGGAAGAGGGGGGAGAGGAGGAGGAAGAAGAAGAAGAGGAGGAAGAAGAAGAGGAAGAGGAAGAGGGAGAAGTGGAGGAGGAGGAAGATGAGGAGGAAGAAGAGGAAGCATGTCCACGAGGCTCTCAGCAAGTGGCAGTGGCAGCAGTTGATGGAGATGACTCTCTGTTTGTGGTGTGTACTGGAACAGTTGAAGAGCTGCTAGGCCTAGAGGCCACACTAACTGCTGAATCAGTGCAGCTAGAGGCAACACAACCTCAGCGCTGGGAGGTCCAGTGGGAGGAGGTGTCCCAAACTTCACAGCCTCTCCTTCCTGAAATTATAGAGTCACCATTAATATCTCCAGAAGCATCCGCCTCCAATATCACTGAGGTAGTGGAAGTTGCTGCAACAGCCACCTCCAATATCACTGAGGTAGTGGAAGTTGCTGCAACAGCCACCTCCAATATCACTGAGGTAGTGGAAGTTGCTGACCTAGGGGTAGAACCAGAGGCTTTTCCAACCATTTTGGAGCAACTAATGAGTACTTCATCCCCATGGGGAGCATCTTTCATTGAAGAGAGCCACCGGGACCTTCAACGCTCACCGGCTAGTGCAGATAGAGGGAGTATTGGCAAAGCACGGACACCTATATCTGGAGGAAGCAGCTTCAGCCTGGAGACTGCCCGCCGGCGCTTCCGGCAATTCTGTTACCAAGATACTGAGGGTCCACGAAAGGCATGTGGTCAGCTCTGGGAGCTTTGCAATCATTGGCTGAAGCCAAAGAATCGCACAAAGGAACAGATTCTTGACGTCCTAATCTTGGAGCAGTTCTTGGCTGTTCTCCCTCCTGGAATCCGAAGTAGGGTATGGGAATGTAGCCCGGAGACTTGCGCACGGGCAGTGGCCCTAGCAGAGGAGTTCCTAGCCAAGCAGAATGAAGCAGAAAGACCAGAGGAGGAGGTAAGATGGGTCAGTCTCCCTTCATTTCCTCACATATATTCTTAAGATTCATTGTTGGGCTATATTATTTGGGGGGAAGACTTTGGGATAGGCAAGTGTCTGAGACAGGACAGCTGCAGCAAGCATGGGAGGTAAATGAAATGGGTGGAGAGTCAAAATGTTTTCTTTTTGGAGCAAAAGTTGTTCACACCTGGCTGGTGGCAATTGCGCAATTATTATTCATGAAGACTTTATGATACTATCTTCCAACTATCTTTCATAGCATACACATCTCAATGACTTCCCCATAAAAAAATCACAGAGCAATAACATAAAGCACCCATAAGATATATAATTCATTCATTCTATTTTCAGTAGGTAGTCTGAGGAGGTCCCAGCAGGTTTATGGCTGCTCCAAATTAGCAAGGTGAATGCCATTTTTAAATATTTCCTCCTATAGCAAGCTTTAGACAACCACACCAAAACACACCTAGTACTTTAGGTTGTTATTCTTACTTCTCCTTTGGCTTGTTTTACTTGCAGATCTGTGGGGAGCACCCAAAAGTGTGATATCTCATCATCTGCAATCTGAAATGCTGCAATCCACTGTCTTCTTAGCAGCCTTATCACATTGCAATCTATTGGCAATGCCAGCTGTCCTTAGCCAACTGTGGCCTGCTGATTCCATATGCTCACCTCACTTGCTGCTTTTAATCCATGAGCTTGGAAGGGTGGTGGGGTTGGGGAGGGAATAACAGCAGACAGTCAATTCCCTGTGCAAAATGGGGAGGAAATATGCATAGGGGAAAAATTCTGGCAATGGCTGAATGCGCTGGAGTTTTTGATTCCTTTCAAACTGATTTCCTATAGGGATGCAAACCAGTGGTAGGGATAATTCCTGGATCAGATTGCTATTGTCATAAAAATGTGTTTATAGTCTTGGATTGATCCTCAGCCCCATCTGAAGTTTCCAGCAGTGTGGAAACTATGACCCCACTCCAGTGCTGTTGAATTACAACTCATCATGTCTTTTCATCAGCTAGGCTGATGTGTCTGCTGATGGAGGTTCACTAGATTTCTGTCTGTCTTTGTTAAAAGGTTTGTTACGGACACCGTATCCCCATCTCTTAAACAGGGAGATGAGACCAATCAAAAGTTCCTATCTAAAGAAACTTTATTTTGGTTGAATTTCTGATTTACATACTGAGATTAAAATGACATTTCTGGAACTATTTAGCCCTTTAGAACTTTGTCCTCATCTACAAATGTGTATTAGTTGCAAATCTGGATTTAAAATGGCTCATGGATGGTTTTGTCTCCACTGCAGCAAAATTGGAAACTAAGTTTTGAACTTGAAATGTTTGAGAGTTGAAATAGCAGTATGACTGGATGTAGACATTGAGATAGGTTGCCAGTTTGGTTTAATGATTAAGAAACTAGGAGACCATAAGTTCTAGTCCCTTCTTGGCGTGAAAATTGACTAGGTGACTTTAGACCAGTCTCTGGTTATTGTGGGGAAAATACTGTGGGAACAGGAAGGAGTATTAGATATGTTCACTACCTTGTTTTTAAAAATAAGGTTTGATATAGATAATGTCCTCGTCCTTGAGAAGAACTAGATGGATAAAAATGCCAAATCCAGTCTAAACAGGTGGGTACTGTGCAACAAACCATAATAATAATATTCCTTGGCATAATGGTAGACAAAACACCCACGTATCAAGAGGACTGTAGGCTAAACAGTTTTCAGCTATTTTATGTTGCATCAACTCTCTGACGTTACTATCAGAGTATTTTCGCATTACCTTTTGTTTGATCCTTTTATTTAGAGAAGTTGACGCAAAACTTTTATCAAAAGTAATGAACCACAAAAAGTTTCCTACGTATTGTGAAGACAAGGACAGCAGTGTAAAAATTATCTTTTTATTTGCATTCAAGCTTGATAAATTCAAAGAAATTCTAAATTTTCAGAGTTTGATTTTCAATATACATCAAACTTAGTATTGTTAACTTTTCTCAGAAGCCAATATTGTTGTTCTGTAGAAGGCTCAGCTTCCTAGGAAAAGTGCCCTATTATTTGACATGTTCTCTGCCACTTTGGTAATAGATTGAAACGGTTCACACGCCAGGACATCACACAACTCCCACAGAAGGAGAGTGCAGGAAAGGGTGACTCACATCAGATACACCTTACATTCTTGGATGACCTTGCAGAGAGAGGAAAGAAAGAAGCAGAGGCTGTAATTTTCAGAGGCAATTAGATCTGTTCTTTAACATCTGAGCAATTATAAATAGTTTGGGATACCAAAGCTGAGGGACCTCAGCTGGAATGAGTTTGGGCAAAATTCTCCCCTCTCTCATCAGGAAAAATTATGCATTTTCCCCCATTCTCAAGATGTTTTTAGAGATTGTCTCAAGCATCAGGGATATTGCTGGCTCTAAACCATCATCCTGCTTATAATTTTAAAGAACCAAATTGTCTTGAACCTCTTTTCATTTCTCAGCTCCTCAAATCTCTGAGCTGTCCACTCAAAATCTCATAGGCTTTACAGATCTTTAAATTAAGACCTTTCAACATCTTTCCCCCTGTCCCTTTATTTCCTCTTTGTCGTGCTGGTCTTCCACAAAGAAAGTTGCATCATCTGCCTTCAGTAGATTTCAAGAACACTGCAAAGGATATTGGAAGCCGTAGTCCTGCAGCCTGGAAGCAAAGGTTTCTTCTAAGAAGTTAAATTAGGTTTCTTCTAAGAGCCCCTTTCTGTAAACTGTAATCAGAAAGTTGGCATTGATATAAATTGTGACATTGGAGCAGAAAGTCACAATTGATGATTTTTAATTGGAATGTCTTTATGGAAACCAGAAGCAGTTGAGGAAGTAGTTTCCATACTGTACAACAATCCCAGCCTCCTCAATCTGATTGCATCCTATATCACCCCTAGCCTTTGTCATCTTTCCCGAATTCTAAAACCCATGCAATTATGGAGTTTCTCTTAATTCTTGTAGCATTTCTAGAATTTCAGTCTTTATTATTTGTGGAAGCCGCAACTATATTTGACAGATTATTCTGAAGTTTGATTCCACTGGTTGAAATTTAATTTTTGCTTTGGCCTCAGCTCCTAAAATGCCAATAAAAGAACAAACTTAGCATGCCTTGGCCCTCAGTTTATTGTTGTACACCTTTGTCTGAAAAGGATCAAGAGAAAGAAATATTTACCCAAAAGTCATAACTGCAACTGAACCAAATTGACCCACAAATCATAAGTTTCAAAAAAAAATTTTTTTTAAATTTATCACCTTTATAATCAAAAGCTAAAGGTTTCAGGAGACTGTAGAGATTCAGACTCTTTTGAGATTTCACTTAATTTAGTACGGGCATTGCAGATTCAGTGTTGGAGGAAACAGACTCAGAAGTGCCTTTGGGTATTGAAAGCCAATTTGAAAAATTTTACCTGATAGAAAGCACATAAAAAGCTAGATTTCCAAAAGGCTGAATGGACATACAATTACAATTGAGCAGAGATACATAAAATATAATCACTAGGAAATGATGCTTCTTTTTTTTCCAGACAGGTTTTAATTTTGATTTTCCTGTTTGAAAAGGGAAGTGGAAAAATCCAAATGGGAACCGATTTGTGGGGTTCTCTTATTTTTGTTGTTTGGCTCTTATTGGCTCCAGGTTTAGTGAAAAGGTTTACAGTAGTGATGTCAAACTCAGGCCCTCAGACTGAATGCATCAAGCAATGGCCATGCCCACCCCCAATTTAACAAAGGGGGGGGGAGTCATTATATGTCACATGACAATGTGACACCATAAATTTGGCACTCTTGCTTTAGAGGTTTAGAGAAAAGATTAAAACCAAAAGTTAATACAACAAAAAAGCAGAAGAAAAGCCATGCATGATTTTAGCTCTCCAACAAAGAAGATTTCATTTGCTAAGACTGCACTAAATAATGTGAATTAAAAACTTTATGTAGTGTTTTGCTTGTCATCAGTGAATGATACTAAAATGCAAATAAATCACATTTTGAATAGCAACAAAAGCAGAATACTGTGAGATGGGGAAAACCTATATTGCATAAAAGCAGAATAACAAAGTTGGGAGCTTGGAGGTCTTCAAGTACAAGCCCCTTGCTCAGGCAGGAAACCCTACAGCACCTCAGACAAATGGTTATCAAATCTCTTTCTAAAACCTTCCAGTATTGGAGCATTCACACAACTTCTGGAGGCAAGTTGTTCCACTGATTAATTGTTCTAACTGCCAGGAAATTTAGAACCCCAGTGCATACTTCCCTCCATGTAGATGCAGTTCCATGAAGACCTACACGTTGAATGCGATTGGTCAACCAGTTACGAATCCATCTGGTGGTGATGCTGTCTAACCCACATTTTTCTATTTTATCTAGTAGTTAGGATCTACTTTATCAAATGCCTTACTGAAGTCCAAATAAATTATATCAGCATTCCTCTGGTCCACTAATTTTGTCACTTTGTCAAATAATGCAATAAGATTAGTCTGGCATGATCTGTTTTTGACAAACCCATGTTGGCTTTTGGTTATTACTTAGTTTGCTTTTAGGTGTTCGCTGATTCGTTGCTTATTATCTTATCCATAATCTTCCCTGGTATTGAGGTCAGGCTGATAGGTCTGTAGTTTTTGGATCCATTTTTTCTCTTTTTTGAAGATGGGAACTACATCAGCTCTTTTCCAGTCCTCTGGCAGTTCCCCGGTGCTCCAGGATCTTTGAAAGATATATTTGAGTGGTTCTGAGATCTCGTCTGCCAGTTCATTCAGAATCTTGGGGTGTAATCCATCTGGTCCTGGTGATTTGAACTCATCTAGGGTAGACAGGTGCTCATTTACCATTTTCTTCCCTATTTTAATTTGTGTTCCTAATCTGTTTTTTGTAGTGCTGTTTTTGATAGGTTGGACTGTTTTTTCCCCCTTTGTGTAAAGACAGTTTCAAAAAATGAGTTAAGTAGTTCTGTTGCTTGTCACCTTCTATTCTATCACCAGTTATGATTATGACGATATTCCTCACTTACTTTGTACAACTCAAGCTGGCATGTATATAGTAATATTTCTTCTTTTTCTTAGAACAACAACCTTGTGAGGTGGGTTATTTTAAAAAAAATCATCTCTAGTTTCCTAGAAGGTAAGTTGGTAGGCATCTTGGAGAACATCTAATCCAACTCTTGTTCAGTGCAGGAATCTACTACAGCATCCTTTGCAGATGGCCAACTACCTTCTACTTAAACCCATCCAGGAATATGGAGTTTTAAAATAAGATGTAAATATTCTCCTAACCTCCTGCTGAAAAACCAGGTCTGTATGGAGAATAGATATCTTCTGGGAGAGCTGCGGCCAAAATTTTAACATCTTTTATTTTTCTTTTTCAGAGAGGAAATGTTTATTTTTATTTTTCTAAGTGTGCTTAGTTTAGCATTAAACCGTCTTTAGCTTTGTTAATTGTGCCTCTTTGATGAATCTTCAGGATTTTGACTTATTTGAGGAGGTAGTGGTGACATTTCCTAATGAAGACCAAGTCCTTTCAGATACTGAGCATGGAGATATATGCATGGAAACTGGACAGCAGGTTGATGGAGACATATGTTTGCTTGGTAAGGAACTATCAATCCACCTACTTAGTGCTTTCAATTGCTTCTCTTTCTCTAAATGCATTTTTAAAATTATTATTGATGTATGCATTCCCACAGTTCAAAGATTATATAAAATGGTAAACACCTAGGATCAAAAATGTATATACTGATATAAATCCTAACAGATGACTAAGTATACTTTTAAGAATAGCTAAATTTAAGAGCGGTGGTGGCGCAGTGGTTAGAGTGCAGTACTACAGGCTACTTCTGCTGCTTGTCGGCTGCCTGCAATTCAGCAGTTCAAATCTCACCAGGTTCACTCAGCCTTCCATCCTTCGAGGTTAAAATGAGGATTCAGATTGTTGGGGGCAATATGCTGACTCTAAATCACTTAGAGAGGGCTGTAAAAGCACTGTGAAGTAGAATACACCATATTTTTCAGTGTATAAGATGCACCTTTCCCCCCCCCAAAGGAGGGTGAAAATCTGGGTGTGTCTTATACTCCAAATGCAAAACCAGGGCATGCATTCCTCCTGGCCAGAACTATCTCCCAGGCCAGGAGCAGAAGCCAATTGGTTTCCGCCTGGGTTGTCTGGAGAAGCGAGAAGCCAAGCAGTAAACCATCTTGCCTTACGCCTCCTGCGCAGCGCCTGCTTCACCTGCCCCTCCTCCAAATGACCCAGGCGGAGGGTAGTCGGCTTCTACTCCTGACCCAGGAGATGGGTCTGGACAGGAGGAACACATGTCCTGTTTTGCAATCAGGGAGGAAAAAGAGCGTTTCAGGTGACGGACGGTTCCAGGCTGCAGGGATCGCAGCGCAGACTGGAACCGCCCGTCGCCTGAAACACTCTTTTTCCTCCCCATTCCAAAAACAGAGTGTGCGGAATTAGCCTCCAACCAAGGCAGCAAAGGTGTAGGGGCTTGCTGGGAACAGGAGATGGATCTGGAGGAATGCATGCCCCATTTTTGCAATCGAGGAGGAAAAAGAGCGTTTCAGGCAACTGGCAGTTCCAGGTTGTGCTGTGATCCCAGCAGCCTGGAACCGCCTGTCGCCTAAAATGCTCTTTTTCCTCCCTGATTACAAACATGTGGCATGCATTCCCCCTGGCCAGATCTGTCTCCCGGGCCAAGAGCAGAAACCAACTTCCCTCCACGTGGGTCAAGGATTAATCTGGACCTGGAGGGAGCCAGGCAAGTGGGAACTCTGAGCAGCGGGCAGGGAGTGTGTGTGTGTTGCTGGTGGTGGATTCCTCCAGTGAAGACTTGGTGCCGCCTTTCCTTCTAGAGCCGCGCAGCTTTAGGCAGGCGGGGTATGTGTGTTGTGCTAGCTGCCTTCACCCCTAGCCAGCCCGGGAGACCAGATGGCCGTTGGGGAGGCTTTTTGGGGGGGAGTAGAGGTGAACTTGTGGGAGGCCTGTGCCAGGCCCCCGGGCGCACGATGAAAAAGCGGGGGTTAGTGGAGGTGAATGAGCCGGGACCAAATGCTGGGAACACAATGGGGGCTTTTGAGAGGACGGTGCAAGGTTTTGTCTTGCCTGCACATTGCAGGTTGGAAAGGGGCTGCTCCACTTTAATGAAGCGAGGCCGAAATGGGGTCATCCACGTGTGTGTGTTTGGGGGGGTGTCTCCTTCCCTTTCTGAGGGAGAAGGGGGAAGCAATTTGTCTTAAGAGGGAAGGAAGGGCAGCCAGCAACCCCCCCCCCCTATAAGTTGTTAGCCGCCCTGAGTCCCCTCAGGGAAAAGGGCGGCCTATAAATAAACTTATTCTATTCTATTCTATGATTAGCCGAGGGGAGAAAAAAAGGTGGGTTGGGGGGAAGGCGGAAGAGAAAGAAAAGAGGGGGTTCTCTCAAGGCCGCCCCTTCCATGTTCATGGGGGGACGGCAGGTGTTGCCCAGTGTCCCGCTCCCTGCTTTGTAGAGTCGGTCTAACCGCCAAAAGGATGACTAGCCAAAGAATGAGTGGCTTTGCAAAAGAGAATCTTTGTGCCCAAAACAATTTGTCCTGAATTTTTAAAAAGTGGTGGTGGGAGCTTAGCGGCTCCTTAGGCATCTCTGCTTCTCCAGACGACCCAGGTAGAAGCTGGTCAGCTTCTCCTCCTGGCCCGGGAGATGGAGCTGCGATCCCGCAGCCTGGAACTGCCCACCACCTGAAAAGCTCTTTTTCTTCCCCGATTGCAAAAATGGGGTATGCGTTCCTCCTGACCAGATCCATCTCCCATTCCCAACAAGCCCCTTTGCTGCCTCGGTCAGAGGCTGATTCCGCATGCCCTGTTTTTGGAATAGAAGAGAAAAAGAGCACACCCTCCTTCTCTTTCCTCCTGGCCAGATCCGTCAGAAGCTAGCCACCCTCCTTCTCAGTTGTCTGGAGAAGCAGGAGGCAGAGTGGCAATTTCCTTCCCAATTCCAAAAATGGCATGTGAGGAACGTGGCAGATCTGAAAGGGGGGGGAGGGGAATCATGGCGCTGCTACCCGAAAACACTTTCCTTCCCGATTCCAAAATCCTGGCATGCAGAAGGCTGCTTCGACTCCTGTCGCTGAGTGTGGGTTTCGCGGTCAGAGGGGTTCCCCCTCCCACTCTTCCCATTATGAAGTTTTCTGGCCGGAGCACCGCACGGATTGCTCCCCTGGCAGCTGGCCTGCAAGAACTGCTTGATCAGGGTTGTGGGGAGGCATTCCACACTCTTCCCCCCACCCACCCGGGCTTCCCTCCGAGTTCTTCCCTACCACGCGTAGACAAAGGTGAAGCAGCCAACGGCAGGAGAGACCAGGGGGAAAGGCTGACCTGGCCATTTTCTGTTTGCTGCAAGGACGCTAGCCAGATGGATGCTGGTAGGCAGAGGCAGAAACTTTTTTTCCTCTTTTCCTCCCCCAAAATTAAGGTGCGTCTTATACTCCAGGGCATCTTATACTCCAAAAAATATGGTAAGTCGAAGTGCTATTGCTATTAGCTTCTTCAATCCAGTGTCCTCCAGATGTCATCATCCATAGCCATAGTTTTGAAGACCTGTCAAAGCAATTAGCCTTAAAATCTGTTCTTTTTTTTTTTTTATAGGACAAAATCATGGTCTGCTGTGATATCTTCCAGAAGTCTCAAAGGTGCATTTTCAAAAGGCAGGTGGACTGTGTTTTTTTTTTCCTTTGAGGAAGAAGACAATGTTTCACTTCTCACCCAAGAAACTTCATCAGTTCTGGCTGGATGATTTGGGGGTGGGGGTGGGAGGACAGAAATGAAAGAATTAGTTCTGACTGGATGTTTGGGAGGAATGGAAGGATTATATTACTTTGCAATCATCTGGTGGCTAGTACTCTCTCACAGAGCCATTGAGGCCACTTAGGGTTTATCTGTGCCCTTAAGGTCACCTGAATCAGAGTGCAAATGGGTGTGGAAACTTCTTGGAACTGCCAAAAAGAACTGTGTTGTAAGCAGGAGATAGATGGTGTGGTATTCCTCTCCCTCTGTTGAGAGAGTGCTGTTTAATTCTAACATAGCAGGTCTCTACTTTGGAAATCCACATTCTGGATAGCGAGGACCATTAGTTTAAAAAAGGGATAAAAGGCTATTTATGTGTGAATTGAACAGCGGTCCCTCAACAGAGGGGAAGGACTACGACAGCATCTATCCAAGAGTGGTATTCACTTACTTTCCCTACCAGTTCACAAATGTGAGCGCGCACATGCTCATTTTGCTCACACTCGCCCCATCTGTGCATGCGTTTGGCCTTCCACATGTGCTCTCGGCTTTCCGTGCATGAGCTTTGGCTTGAAAATGTGCCGAAATAGGATGGCATAGAGCCAGAGCCGGTGGACAGTTTCCACTACTGGTTCAGGCAAACCGGTACAAACTGGCCAAGGTGGCGCAGTGGTTAAATGCAGCACTGCAGGCTACTGCTAGATCAGCAGTTCAGCGGTTCAAATCTCACCGGCTCAGGGTTGACTCA